GGCTCCACACGAGAGGAGAAGGCGACACTGTAGTAGAACAGACTGTCACAGCCTCTGAATGTGGCTGAATACATTCCAGGGTTTGTAATTTCACAGACAAAGATGGCAGCAGAAGACAACAAAATTACACTTTCATGTCATTCACTGTCTGTGATGAAAGTTTTTTGTTAAAAAACTGTCCTTTCATTGTGTTTGTGTGCAGGCAACTAAAGAGCTGAAACAGTACGACAACAAGATCATCGAGTGCACCTTTGCCAGTAACACCTGGGTGTTCATGAGGCAGAGGGTGGACAAGAGCTTCCCCAACTCCTACGACACGGCCATGGGTGAGTGTCTGTCCTTCTCTGCCCATTTGTATTCCATACCAGGACCCGTCGACACTTTAATTTCACCAACAGATTCTCTTGTGGGAGCTTCTTTTTTTTTTAGCATCGTGCACTTTACAAATGAATATGCATTTCCATCCACCAACATTATTTCATGATGAGGAGTTAGTTGGTCAAGATGGTCAAGAGCTGCTGGCACTCAGTTTCCAGTTGGGTGCCATTTAACAGCTGCAGAAGAAGATGGATTTGCAACATGAATACATATCGCATCCACTGCTCATCATGCCTGGTTTTAAGCCACAGCTGGCAGCTATTTCTTTTCGAGAAAAAGCTCCATTAAACCCTCTGTAAACTGCATACCCTGCGTTGAACAGCTGAAGAGGTCAGAGTTAGCAGATAGCTGGTAAACATTGCTCGGGCAATTATCAGCTTAGGACAGATCTTTTGCCCCGAGTTGAGTACTGTTAAGTCTTGCATTGGTCAGGTGGTTCAAAACATGAACTCCTAAATGAATGTTTAAGTTGTCAGCAAGTTGGTAAGTAAGAAACTCATTGCTAAATATTTAATCAGGTCTACTTTACAAGATAAAGAGAAATGTTTGTGCCACTGTTCCAAGCAGAAAAAAACATCAATCTACTAAAAAATTGCAAAAATTTTGCCAAAGCCATGCAGGTTTAAGAGACGAGCTGCAGTAACACCTTCATGCTAATGTGCAGCAAAAAAAATGTTCTGATGTGAACACAACATTTTAGGTTTTATCACCTCAAATACGTTTCTTTCTAAAGTTTTTGTCTGATATTGATGTACAGAAATGCTTGGTCTTTTCAAAGTAATGGTATTAAGGTTTTGTATTAGCTGAGCTGTATTCCGTCTTCAAACCAAAGGTAATAGTCTGAGTGTCTCAGGTCAATGGAAGAAGAATGTTCATTCTTACCTCTTTAAAAGGCAGAGTGAGTGAGACTGAAAAGTTGACCCCAGTTATAAACCCCTTTCCTAAGTGCTGACTTTATAATCCTTTATAAGTTTGAACATAAATGTTCAAATTGCAAAGCAGTAAAAACAAGAAGCACAAGCGAGAGAAAGCACATTTTAAAGAGTGAATTGAATCGATAGAGGAAGATAGATAAGGTCCTGAATTATTGAGCTTTAGATCCTCAGGCTCAACACAAAAGCACCTTTTATCTTACATGAAGACAGATAGCAGTCTGTTCCTCCTCAGGCTGCTAACATAAAACATTTCTATGTAGAGAACAGTGTGTTTACACGCACAACACAACTTAGGCTTGTTGTTTCAGTTTGTTTGTGAGTAGAAATCAGAACACACTTGTAGGCTGTGTTGATTGTGGTGTGATCATGTATTTAAAGGTTTTTTTGTATTCATTGAAATCACCATATAATGCATATCATCAAACGGAAAAGACTTAAAACCAGGATACTGATGTGCTTTGAAACAGGCTTGTGGTTAAGTTTTTAGAAATCAGTCAAATTGAGCTGTATTGGTTTCCATTGGTTGACAAGTGTACATTTCACTTCCATGTTTAGGAACAAGTTTGGCCTGTGCTGCAAAACTTGACAAATCAAATAATGCTAACATTAGTCATAATTAGTTGGGTCCCTAGTTTAATCAGAGACTGTATAAAAAGCTGGACAACATGACAGATCCCCAAAAGTGAAGCAAAAATACAAACATACCCACTACTGACTGGCTGCAGTATAGGTCATAAAGCCTGCATCCCCAATGTTAACAGATGGTACATGTGTCAAACTACAAACATCATCATGTGTTTTTCTCAAAGATGGATTCTGTCTTCATAGTTATCTCATATCTTTCTGATTAACAGTTGACTTGAACGTTCATTCTGAGAAGTTAGATTTAAATTAGTTATTTGATGCTATTAAAGGGGTGTAATGGCGTGATTGACAGCTCTGTTAACAAACGCAGCTCCTGCAGCACTGTGTGCACCAGATTAGCAGAGTAGAGGAGGAATGGCAACAGGAAGCGTAACACACTCTAACACATTAGTCATTGAACTTTCTATGATGCTGACTATCTGCTTCAAACACAAGCGTCGACCTGAGGAATCTTTGCCATTTTAAAGGGAAGATAAATGTGTGTTTTGGTTAGCAGAAGGGGTGGGACACTAATACCATTGCTCCACCAGCAGATCACTGCTGCAAAGACTCTGGCTCCAAAGAACCAATATGTCAGCGCCAGTCGCTTCATCTTTGTGCAGCAAGATGAGTTTGAGACGTGTTGTCCATTTTTATATACAGTCAATGGTTCTTACACAATAGAGGAATACTGTCCTGTTATCATTGAAGTCCTGCACATGGATTTATCTTTCACCAGCATTTACCCCCCAAAATGATCTCATTAACAAACGATGTGTAAATGCTAAACTCTCTCAGAAATGGTTTCTTCAAGAGCTAATTTCTGCTGCTTACTTAAAGTAAACAGTAAACACACAGTTTACTCTAGTCATGCAATGATTTGCTTGTTGTTATTTGTCTTTAAAAAGCCGACAAGATCTTGCTTATGTTGCTTAGGTGAAAGAAAATACAAAAGAACTGCCTGTCATCATGTCTGTTGTAACTTCATTCTTCCTTTTCTTGTTTGACTCTCTCTTCCCAGCTGTGTGTAAAAGCATCCAGGAGCCCGTCACGAAGGCAATCCTCCTGGAGTACGTGGACCGCTGTGCCCAGGCAGTCCAAGCACAGAACCGGAAACACCCACCAGACCCAGACTCTGAGCTAATGCCCCCTCCCCCTCCAAAGAGACCCAACAGGCCTTAGCCCACAGCGGGGCTTTCCGGACTGCTTTACAGTCATTATGTGCATCTACATCACCAGCCACATCAGCACCAAACAGAAAAAAGAAGACATATCAAGGCTCTCTACCCTCAGCACATTGTCTTCATCCTCCTGCCCATGTAAGGAGATCAGAAACCTTTGATAGACTGAATCACCGTCATTCATTTACCTTGTAGACTCGTTTGTAGCTTTAACTGCTGGTGTTCTTATTAAAATGAAAGACATGATGCTTAGTTTATTTTTGTTTGGATTTCCTATTTATCTTTTTTTAAAGTCTGAGCTAATTGGTATGTATCAACAGGGATGTTGTTATGGCTGTGGATAACACCTGGCGATGACTACCTTGTTTATGCTTTGTCGACTAGTTCCTTTATTTGTACTGAAGGAAGAGTAAACATCATAAAAGCTCAGTCTGCTGTCTCAATGCATTTCAATCAGGAAGCAACACTTAGTAAGAGTTTAGATCATCAGAGAGGATCTCATTTAGAGGAACACACAAATTAAAGAGGGTTTGTTTTTACAGAATCATGTACAACTCTTGAAAATCTGTCAGGGTCTTTCTCTTTTTTTTAATCTCCAGTCAGATAAAAATGAGATCTCAGCTCTTTGTTTCATAAGCTTTTGTCCAAAGGAAGCCCATCTGTGTGGACTTTTGTTTTAAAAGGCCACATGTGTGGGCAGGGAGATGACAACATGATTACACAGCCTCAACAAAACTAACTACAAAAGAGGACAAACAGAGAAATCAGGCTACAGATGGGTGACAAGCTCACATTAAGCACCACAGAGAGAAAGGTGGAAAACTGTTTTATTTCTTTGAGCTCCAGCAGAGGGATTAAGTCACTCATATCTAACATCTGTTCATATTTCAAGCAAAGAGATATTCAGAGGTAGGAAGATCTGAGGCTACGTCTGTTTCATCCACACTGGTCACCAGATATGAAACGCTTTTTCATGGCAGCTGGCTTCAGAGGACGGTGATACACTTCACCAAAGCTACGGTTGGTTGGTTAGTCTCAAAATGGAGATAACTCGAGTCAATAATCAAAAATGAAATCTGAGATGTAGGAACTGGAACCGCCATAGATAATACCACAATATGTATAGAGATTCAAATTTAACTCAGGTTCAGATGCACTTAAATATTAAACATTTGTGGACTTACATTTTATAAATATAAAAAAAACTATTTTTTATATCCAGAGAGTACACCTGTATTTAAGCCTCTTTTTACAATGCTTTTATTCTGGAATTCCTTTAGCTCGTAAAACATCTGTTTCTATTTATTTGGCCCGATCAGTATGAGAAACAATGCTAAAGTTGCACCTCTATGCTAACTGCTAACTATTGCACCTGACACATTGTGAGTTCAATAGCAACATTTCATTACAGATGAGCTCAGTGTGCTTTACATTGAGGTTAAAAACAAAATCAAAACACAGCATACACATAAGTAAAAGTGTTTCCACAGTCATTAATAAGATACAGAAATCTAATCAAAGCACACATCAGTTACCACAAAAGTGATCACACACACACACACACACAAAACTTAACTATTCATATGCTTTGGAGAACAGAGGTTTTGAGTGTTTCTTTAAAAGCAGACACAGTCGTGATGGACCTCGGGTCAGCAGGGGGTTTGTTCCACAGTAACTACAGGCTGACTTCAACATACTGTTAAAGGCTGCACTACTCATGAGCATGAGCCATTGTTCAGGGAGATGTCAATCAAAATGTTCGGCCACGCCCCCACACAGTTTCAAGAAATTCTCTTATCATCTAAATGAGCTGTTTTTGAAGTGGTGTGTTATAGTTGCATGATGTTCACTCTTATCGGTTTTTGTGGATAATTAATGAGCTATTCATGTCAAGCTTTACTCTCCACTGGCATTAAAACACGTGAGACAACACACACACAGGATCATAACAGAGCAGCCTCTACCTGGCTTATCAGTCATCCCACTGCTGATATCATTCAGCTTACCGCAGTTTAAAAAGCCTTATCTGTGAAATCTGCAGCCTCCAGACAAACAAATATTTATCTACGGCTCCTGGCAGAAATTTGAGGATGAAAAAACAACAAAAAACGCTCGCTCCATCATCTGACAATAAAAGAAAATGTGTCCACTCTGCTGCTCGATCAAGCTGCTGCTGTTGTCGGAGGTGAAGTGTTGCTCCTGTGCCGGTCTCCCCCCCCCCGAGCTGTTCAACACGCCTTACGGTTGACTTCTGACCTCCATCTGGAGGGCAAGATGATGAAACAGCATTCCCATCAGATTTTTTTAATCACACTCATCATTGCACTTTTATTTAAATCTCACAGGAGAAACCTTGTTGCCAGGGAGCATTTGATTTGTTTCTCATCATGTTGCCCACGTTGTTGCCGGTTGCTAGGAGGGTTGCCCATCTGCACCGTTTATCACCCACTGTAGAAATGATTTCGTCGGCAGCTTTCACATGCGACGCATTAGAAGCACGAGCACGACTGCTGCTTTGTTTGGTGCGGATTCTTTTTGTAATCAAAGCAAAAATAATGTCTCCATCAGTATAAATGAATTATTACATGAGGGAGTATCTGTCTGGAACAAAGTGGGGTTACTGTATGCTCCAGAACTGAGTCCATATACGGGGTATGACCAAAAGTGTGTGTTTCAGAGCAGTAGTTCAAGTTTGTTTAAAACCTGTGTTCCTGCTCTGCTGTGTCTCATTTTGAGGTATCACATTTGAGTGACACAAATGGTAATTCATGCCATGTGGTGAGTCTACATCAGAATTCAGGGAACAAATGTGAGTTAGTGGAGTAAAAAAAGAGTGTTACAAATCCAGCCTGCATGTGTGTGTGCATGTGTTATTTTAGTTCCTATCTGCTGGTGCCGGAGGCGACTGTTCTCCTTACAGCACAGATAGATGAGCTGTATACCCAGGGCTCTCTACCCTCTGGCTGGCTGCTTCCTCATCAAAGCCGCGCTCACCTTTTGGTCACAAGGTTTCTGCTATGGAGACATCGCAACTCTCATGCAGCAGGTGAATAATCCACAGCAGCACACACATTTCTCTTCTAGTATATACAGTGCACTTCAATTCATCCACCATCTTTGCAAAACAGGCTACAAAACTGCCTTTTTTCTTTCATATCTGAAACCTGTTTATTCCAAACCCCCTTGGCAGTATTTTTTATTTTTTATTTGCTGGGATTTCATGCATCACCTTTTGTAACATCGCCAATGTGGAAGCTGAAAAAAAGGAACACATGGAAAGGAACATCAATAATGTGTTTTTTCTCGTCCTGCGTTTGTGCCCCCGAGTGCAGAAGAAATGAACGGGGGTATCGGAGTGGGGGGGGGAGGCCTGTATGTGACTGTATGGATCAGGAAATGTAAACGCTCTCTGTGTATATGCATGAGCACAGGTGGTTCAGCGAACATTATGTCCTTCCTCCATCCTCTCTCTTTCGGCTCAGGTGTTTGGAGGCTGGAAGCCGCCGAGCTCCTCGTTGATATTAAATCAGCAGAGACGACTCTCTGGTCATTATCATCTTAATATAATCCATACTTTGAATAATGCATTCCATGTGGCTCTCCCTCAGTCTCTGCCATCAGAGGGGCAGACGTGGACTTTCCAATTCTGTGCAAACATAAATGTGCTGACGTACCATACTTTTTAATTCTTTTCATAAAAGAAAACGAACCTAAACGCACCATTGACACAAGACACGAAGTTTGTCATTTACAGCTGGGTTTGAAATGTCTCTATTATTTCTTTACAGTCATGGGTGCATGGACATGATCTCAACTTTCAAAGCAGACACCTTGAACTTTTCGCACATACAGTATGTTACTGCAAAACATGATGCAGGAATTAGGAGTAATAAATGAATATATTTCATTAACTTCACACAAATGTATTCCCTTCAAGTGAATTCAGTTTAAATGTATAAAATGCAACATCTTCATTTTCTCCATTCTCTCCATTGAGTTTTAATTTGTCCAGATACTTTGAGGGAAACAATATATATAAAGGAATATTTACTGAAGTTCCCTTTTTGGACTTTTTGACATTTGGTAGTGCTAAGAGCAGTTTGCCTAATACTGACCTAAGACTCATTCGTTTGTCATGTATGCAGAGATGACTTAGTTATGTCTTAGGGTTGGTGTTACAAAATGGCTTTAAGTAATCAGAGACATTAAACACAAAGGAAGTAGTTGATTCATGTTTTTTCTATAAATTCAAAAGTTGTTTTCAAACGGATAAGTAGTTACTTTTTCATTCACTGCACGGACATGTTGATATTTCAACTGTGTTATATTAGAGTTGAACTATTTATTGGTATTTCATCTCAAGTTTCTTCCCCCCGAGTGAAAAAAAGAGAAAAAGCTTCTGTAGATAATCTCCCAGCCCTTATCTCCACTGAACCCATAAATCTCGATGGTGAAAAAAGACTTCATCTGATTGGATTTAATAACAAGCTTTGCTCTTGATAATGAAGTCAGACAGGTCTGACCTGATTACCCTGCTGAAATTAGAAATTTAATTGCATACATTTTTCAGGCCTTGGAGTCAGGGAGGCATGGCACCACAAATCTATTATCTAGATTCTCCTCCTCATAAGCTCCTCTCAGGCATGATGCCATGTGCTAACAAATGACTCCTATTTTGTGGGGAATGGCGATGAAGCTGCAAAACTGCTCCTCCATCTGGATCAGAAGGTGTAATCAGGAGGGCAGACAGCGATCTGCTGGCATCGTTTTGTACCAGGAGAAAAACGATGCCTCCATCGTGATCTTAATGTACTCTATGATCTCTACGCTCAAATGGATTTTTTTTTTTTTTTTTTATGTAAATGATCAGGACACAGAGGTGAATCTGAGGAGACAGAAACTGCAGTTCCTGTTATATTTCTTAAAATTCTCAAGCTACTCAAATAACTTTGATGTCACAGTGTCATGGCACTCTCATCATCTTCAGCACTGATGTGATGTTTTTCTGAGTGAAACTACATTTGCTCCGGTTCATACATCCTTTCAAATGTACTGAATCACTCAAGTGTACGTAAATATATTGCAATATGGAAGTTTATGCCAACTTAAATCAAAACCTACACCTTCTGTATGACCTCTCTGTTAGCTGCTGTGACTCACTAGCATACAGCCAATTTTTGAAAAGACTGTGATGTGGATTTCCTTGTTGTTGATATGTTTGATGATGAAGAAATTCGCCGTTGAGACTGACTTGCTTTCAAAGAGTATAATTTTATTTAAGCAAGAAACAGAATCACTGGTCACGTCTGACCAGGAGGATCAAGAAGCCAATAATGATCTCTGTCGAACACACAGAGACAATTGCTTATATGCATCTAAACATCTGTTTTCCCGTCATGGGTCATAAAAACATCAAGTTACACAACCAT